CCCTAACTATTCTATGATTCTATGTTCTTGATTCTGGGGCAGCCCAAGATTGAAGTGTGGAAATCTTCACATGGGTTTTGATTTAGAAAACAGGGCAGTAAGATGGGGTAAAATTTCCACTCAAACAGCTTTTTTGGTTTAGATGTGATGTTATGGCTACCTGATCTCCAGCACCAACATCCTCTTCATCCCTATGTAGATGAACACCTTGGGCAATATCAGGTGACTGCTGTTCCAGTGCCACTAAAACATTACAAGTCTTGTAGTCAAAACCTATTTTGAAAAAAGAATAGCAGTGAATTAGCCTTTTCCGTCACAACAAAGGAAAGCAACGTGGAATCATACAACAAAGTATTCGTTCAGTAGGATACCACATTCAGAACTCAAAACCTTACTGTTATTTTTTGTCAACGCGACACTTGAAACCTTTTGGGGGAGGGTGTGGGGTATATAGGGTTGTCTTTATTGCTTCTTACTGCTTGTTTTCTCTTGCATTGGCATCCTGTGCCAAGCCAATTCAGATTAGGAATTGCTAACTGAACAAAACTAGTTAAAAAAGTAAATTATGAGCCTCTCCCAAATAAACAGTATTAAAAACCTCTGCATAAATTCCAAGGAACTGATGTCTTCAGCAGTCGAAGGCTTTGCTCTCTAATACTTTATTTGTAATACATGTAAAATGGTTCCTGTGCCTAAATCTCTCATGGAAGTTTGTTAGAGCCACAGCAAGTCTCACAGCAAATCTGGAAGTGGGAATTTACTTTACATTACTTTCTAAAAACAAAAGGAAGGTTTTTGAAATTGAAAGACTTACAGAAGGCAAAATTTTCCACCTGTTCCTAGATATATTACTAGTAACTTGCTTCTCTCCAAATACAACCTTTCCTAGACTGTAGCTACTGGCAGCTGCTGACCAAACTCATGTCAGCCAATACAACATATATACACATCCATACATACATGATTCACTTGAAAAACCCTCTTCACCCTCTTTTAAGTGGGCTGTGTAGAGAAGAAAATTATATTTCCACACACAGTGGTTTGGTTTAGCCTCTCATTTTACTTCTGCAAAGAAATGGTTTTTTTGCTGGGTCACCGCATCTCCCCTTATCATCTTTGGCAGTTAGGATAAAAAGGAGATTTACTATATTTACTAGCTTTTTTGAAATCACTGCTGTTATATGATTGTGGAAGTAACTTGTAGATGTGCTGCTATAATGTCCACAGTCTGACTATAAATCCAATAGCAATTAAAGGACTGCAGGAAACAACTGTTTTTAATCAAAAGCTCTTACCAGATACACTTCACCGTAACAGTCTACTTGGAATATTTGTAATGTATAAGATATATGACAAATCAGAAAGTGAAATGTGTCTGGTATGTAAAGCATTTTGTCTTTTTTATCATTTGTACATTACACAAACTGGATTTGGACTGCATGTTCCTGTGTAGGAAGAGTTGTTCAGAGCTAACAGACCACCTTGCACAGTGAGAACCTGCTTTACACCTGGGAATTCTAGATGCTAACCACAGTACAAATATATAATGGTATGATGAAACGAACTAGGTTTCTTACTCCCTCTCTTTCTTACCAAGATGCATCAATCAGCTTGCCAAATGAATAACAACATTCGAGTTCTCGCAAGTTTAAAAGAGTAGTAAATACTGTGGCTCAGGTTGCAGTTAAGTATTCTGGCCTAATACCACAGTTCAAAGTATGTTCTGCCTACACCCTCTCAGTTTTAAATAATATATGATGGTTCTTCTACTTACTGGTATAAAGCCAGAAAGTGTATCGCGTAGCACCATGTAAGCAGCTTTCACACAGGATATTCAGTTTTTACCAGGCCTGCTAAAGCCCATGTGGAAGTGGTGACAGACCTGTTTTGCAGTTGCCTATTGCTTGCTCTTCAATGATTTCATGAGTTTTTCCACCAACCTTTAGCTGAATCATCATAGCCAATATGTCTAATTGCATCTCGGACAACTCGTTGATAATCCACAATAGCATGAGAAGTGATCTCCCCACAGAGCAACACCATTCCTGTCTTACATACTGTCTCTGAAAAGAGAGATGAAAACAGGATTACATCAGCAGAATAACCCTGCCCACTAAATGTTTGTAATGATAGTGATTTTAAGAGATCTACTGGGCATATACAACGTAAATCCTTTATACCCATATTTTTAGTATTATTCTACAACGAATTCTTTCCCTATTCACCATATGTCTGAAAGAAAGGAGAAGATTATGTCTAATTTACAAATTGGAAAGCCAAAACACTAAGCATGATTCAGTGATATGCACAGATTTTAAGCAAATATAGCATTAAACTGTGATTTCTAAATCTACTTAAGCACTCTAAGATACATATTGAGGCTAAATAAAACTCATCAGTAATCAACTATTTAGAAATTGAGCTCTGCAGCCCCAGGAGGAAGAATCTGAAGGTGGGGTTTAGTTACCTAACACAGGAACCAGCATAATAACCTGAGAGTTGATGGTACAACTCTTTCTGAAGAGATTTCAAAAAACAAGCTGTGATGGGGACTTGGACTGGAAAAATTGGTACTTTATTAAATATAGTCCACTATAAAAAAGACAAATCTGTTCCTCCCAGGAAAATTCAGTGCACACACAAAGTTAATTATCCTAGCCTTTTACAGCCTGCTTAGGCTTCAGTTGTTATAAAAACTTCTACTGTTTCTTCTCATCTCTCCTTCTTTTCAAGATTGTAATTCTTATGTGATTTTCTGAGACCAAAATGAGTTAGCAAATGATAGCATCAAGCTCTTTGCCAACATCAAAAAAAAGAACAGTGACTGCGTGATGACAAAGAAAAGCACCAAACAACTTACCACAAGCAACCTTGGCATTTGGGTCTTGTTTGAGATGGGCGTCTAGTACAGCATCACTGATTTGATCGCAGATTTTATCTGCAAGACATCAAAGTTGTGATTTTAAACCATAGCACTCAATACAAAACATGGACTGTTTGTGTTGCTTTGAATAGGTAGGTATTTCAGCAAGGAATTCTTTTATTACTTATTAGTGGGGTATTTAAATAGAAAGACATATGCAACATCCTGCAAACCAAGTCAGTAGATACATTGCAGAATTTACTTACTGGTATAAAATAATATAGACTATAAAATTAGCTGTAGTTTTCTGCATTTAGGTATGTTATGCATAGAATTACCTGAGAGGCTGAGGCTTTTCTCCCAGCTTTCTCCTCCTCTAACAATGCCAATATAGCATGCACCCTACATTAGTAATATTCTGACACCAAGGTGATATTCCACCATCAGCTTCCATCTTCCCAATAGAAAGTTAGAATGTACCAGACCAACACTGCTGGTAAAGCCTGAGAAAGTGTTCAGATTAATACAGATAACCTACTGCTCAGAGTCAAGTGCCTGTTTTGGGTTTGTTCTTCTCACTGCTTCCTACTATACCGCAATGCCATCTCCTAATAATCCCTGCAACCCAACTAAGGCACAGAAGTAGCAGATGCAGAAGCAAGAAGGGGTTACCAACTGAAGTTTTCCTGAGGTAAATCTTGAGTAAGTATATCTTCAGTTACATCCCAAATGCAAAGGTTTCAGCTCAGGTTTATCATAATAATCTTTTTCTCTTTTTCTTTCTTTTCTTACTTTTTTGATGAATAAGTATCTCAGTTAAATAATGTAGCTAATTTAACAAAGACAAAAGGGCAGCACCCATAACAAAGATTTTCACATGAAAATGGTCATTTTCTCATCTATTTTAATTTTATTATTCTTTAAAAAAGCTTAGTATTGCATACTATGTTTAGATGTTGCCATAACATGCTGTGTGGCAAAATTAATTAATCTCCTTCCTTGCCATTTGCAACACAATCTGTTGGAAACCAATGTTTTGTGAAAGTATGTCATTAGAGACTTTTAATACATTTAATCTCAAGTCAAAATATATTCTCATTTATTTTCATGAGGAAGGTGTACTACATTTAGCTAAGAGGGACAAATCGAAGACTAGAGAACTAATGTGATTCTGACACTCTTATCTCTCATATTAACCACTTCAACACAAAAAGAATGAACACAAAAGACAATTAGCAAATGTAGGCTGCATTGGAACTTTTGGCCTTGCAAGAACTGTGCTTGGATTACTAAATGTGGGATAATTATTACCGAACAGGAATCAGATGCAATTCTTGCAATTTAGTTAAAGTCCAAATGGACATTGTTTAACAAGACTGGGGACAAAGGTGGCAGGAGTGATTAATATGTATCTCTGCTTGCTCTCTTCAAAGTTTCCAATTTTATAAGGAAATACATCCACATTTGCAAGCATAAAAGCAAAAATTATTGACCAAAATATGCAATATTTGGTTACCAGGGTGGGACAACAGAGCAACTGGGATAGGATGACCTTCTTAGTGCAGGTCCAATGCCCTGCAGCAAAATCCTAGTGATGGGATTGCTTTTTAGCCTTTTTTTCACCACCCAGAGTTTCTATGCCAGGAACAATCTTTAACTCTGTCCTTGCTCCACATGAAAACTGTCTCACCTGCATTAGATGCCAGTGTCCTGTGTTTGTCTAAGTTTCCTATATGGCACATACACAGATACTATATGCATTCTTTTCAAAACAGTCAAGATGAGTACAGGTAATCCCATATGACTAATTCATCCTCATTTCTCCCTGTGGCACTTATCTGGTACAATGAACCTCACGTTCATTTTGCTGTGGTTGAAATTAATTTATGAACTAAAACTTTCATGAAATGTCTCAAGGGAGCATTAGCCATAGAAGGCAGTGAAATCAGTAAGTGAAGATTTAATAGGATGTTTTCATATTGTTGTTGTTGTGTTTGGGTTTTGGTAGGGTTTTTTTCATGAAATTCATTCAAGTAAAGGCATGTCTATTAGTAAAGGTCTCTGATGTAAAATAAAACCAGGGATTCTATTTTTAGCAATGCTTAGGAGGCTTTGTGCACTCTTCATTCTGTCATTTAAATTTCTCAACTGTCCCATTACTCTTATTAGCTGCTAAATGTGACAGAATATGTTTGTCATTCCTTTTTTTGTTCTTTCTATTTTTGGAAATGGGAAAAGCATGATGGACCATGTCTGGTGAGGTATTATCATTTAAAAAATGTCATAGGCAAGAATTCAGTTTATACATACCTTCAGATAGTGAATTACTATGCAATAGTATAAATATTGCAAAAGCAATGCCTACGCTGAGGATTTCTTGACTGAGAAGAAAAGTATTAGATAACCACAATTTTTTTTCATGAAATCAAATCGTTATGGCAGAGATGCCAAATAGCCATAAAAAAGTTCTTGCTAACTATAAAAGGAATTAGTCAGTCTAGGGGAGCTGAAGATAAACCCTATTCAGATGCCTGGTTGTTAAATTATGAAGGAGGCATTCAACAACAAAAGTGATCTCCAATAATTAGAAGCTTCACAGTTTTCCAGATAGTTGGACATAAGTTTGTTATGTGAATCTAGACTATGTAAGAGCCTAACACAAGCCTTGACATCTGCAAGTTCTCAGGACCTCCCCAGAGCACAGATACAGGCTGGGCAGAGACTGGATTGACAGCAGCCTTGAGGAGAAGGACTTGGGGATGTTGGTTGATGAGAAGCTCAACGTGAGCCGGCTTCAGTGTGTGCCTGCAGCCCAGAAAGCCAACCGTATCCTGGGCTGCATAAAAAGGAGTATGACCAGCAGGTTGAGGGAGGTGATCCTGCCCCTCTAACTCTGCTCTCATGAGACCCCACTTAGAGTACTGCTGAATTGTGCTGTATTACAATTTTCCTATTTAAAAGAATGGACGAGTGCTAATTGATAACTACAGTGGTACTTCAATATTAACATCACACCGTTCAAATATCTTGTACATCTGTTCTCTTTGTTCAATACACAGTTTACTGAAGTATTATGTATATTGTTAAGTATATACAATGTTAGATATTGTTAAGTATATATAATGTTAGACATAAGATGCAAGCATCAACTTGCTGGAAAGATTTGCATTTTCTGTTTAGTTTTGGGATTTTGTTTGTTTGCTTGATTTGGTGGTTTTGGTTTGTTTTTTTTTCCTGTGAATATACAGAAGATAAACGTATGCTTTTAGTCTGGTTGAAAATCTGAGGGTGCTTTTAGTAGATGTTTTCTCTTATATTTTAAAGATTCCTTGGTACTTACTGGAAAACTGAATGACATTCTGTTTGTAGGCAATTCCACCTGAAGTCACACCAGATAGGGGAGATAATTAATCCTAAGTGGTTTGGCACCTGCAAGACATTGTGGATCAGAGAAACACACAATGCCTTTCAAAGCACAGTGAAACCATTGTGCAGCACGGACAGACACTCCTGGACAAAGCAAAATGGAGCAGTGACAAAAAACAGCTATCTAAATAAAAATAAATATTTCTCTTCCCCATGCTGCTGTCTATGTGATTATATTGAAATGAAGAAATTATGCGCATGTCTTCAGAGAGTTTGGAATTTACCCCACTAAATGCCAAGACTGAAGTCCAAAATTTTATACCCAAGTGATTTTGAATAATTTGGACTGACAAGATAGAATCAACGGAGTCTTCTATAGAGTCTTTGGAGAGCATAAGTAATACATGTATCTTAATTATGGCTAGCTATTACTTGCATCTATGGAATTTGGTCTTAGTGACACACAACCCACAGGCATTGCACAGGTATAAGGCAGTTCCCTGTGTACCTAAACAAATAAGCATGTATTTTCACCTGCTTTGTTTATTAAGAAGGTCTCTATTAAAGCATTCAGTCCTCAGCTAATATCATCAGAACAATTCAGATTTCCACCAGACAGAGATCTGGTTCAGGGTCTTCACTTCATATAATGCCCTCTAGCAAAATTATGCTATCACGCGCAGAAGAGAAATAATCAAGAACCAGATTATCCATTCGGTATCAGAGAAACTCAAAACTCACAATAAAATTCTAGTGCTATTGATAATGTCAGAAGCCCAACTACAGCCCCAGACACTGGGTCTCGTTTTAAGAAATAGCCTAGATTTCTCTGGATGATAAAAACCTAATGTCATGTCTACACCCCTCGTGTAAAACCAGGTAAGGAAAAGGGGGGTTGGCCAGGATATAAGGGGGATCAATTTGCTGTCAGAAACTAGAGCTACTGCTGAGACAATTAATACCTGTTGCTGGGCTGTGTTCAAAACCAAGAATTTGAAGGACCACCCAGAGTTACTCAGGGTCCTTCTTTGATCCGGAAAATCTGTATCTTTCCTTTGTCACAGGCATTTGGGTTTTCAGCACCCTACATGAAGACTGAGGCTGTTTAAGAAAGTATAAGCATCATAGTCTTGAAAATGTCCAAGTAAATTTCAGTTTTCCAGTCCCTCTACAATTAGGCTTTCATGTTGCCACTTCACACCTCGCAGTACCCAGACATCTGGAGACCTCTGCCATATGAGAGGCTGTACATAAATTTAACAAGTGGTAACATTGTTTCTCAAAGGCCTGCTGAGTATCTCAGGGCAGGAGGAAAATGTTCACGGGACTTAAAAGACCTACTGAGGGCCAGAAGAGGTTTAGGAAGTAAAGGAAATGTGACATAAGAACTAAAAAACAGGCCAAATTCGAAAACAAGAAACAAGACAAAAAGAGAAAGGAAGGAAACCAAAGGACAAAGCTAAACCTGGGGACTCAAACTCTTCCTGTTCTGAGACCTACCTATTATTGCCCCAGGGTTAAAAATGATTAAAGTAGCATAAATTGTCACCTGTCGTCTTTGGAAACACCATCACAAATTTAAAAATACCATATTGTGTAATGTTATTTTTCCTATGAAACTACATTGCACTACAGACGCTGGATGTAATTATACAAATTTGAGATGGGACCTATGTCCAAAGGATCGAACGTGTTTGTCATTTTCTGATTGTGTTACATCAGAAAGAACCCCAACTGGCTTAACCTGATGTAGCTACCTTGACATTGACAGAGATGTTCTCAATTGCATCAGCCATGGATTTGATCTGCAGTAATAAGTTAATATTATAAAGAATATCATTATTACAGATAAAAAATTCTTACTGCTGACATTTTTATTCTCTGCCCTGTCATTCCACCCATTTAAAATTCACTCACAAAACACACGCACAGACCTTAAAAAGCCTTATTATAGCAAAAGGTAGAGGATGCCAAATCAACTTCTAAAATAAATACACTTTTCAGGACATCAAACAGTCTATTGTCCCCTGGCCTCATTTGGGGCAACACCTGCTGTTGACATAAGGTACATGTTTATGGCAGATGAACATTTGTTTTCAACAAAACTGAACTAAGCTCTGCTGACCATACATAAAGTTTAGCAAATAACTGTCCACTCTTTGCTTAAGCAATTCCATATATTGCATCAGATGATGGAATGGGGGGAAAAAAGCAGCAACTTTGCCATGTACAGCTGCTGCGACCACTGATTTTTAAAGGCTTTAAAATAGCCTGCTTAGAGATATTTGTGGATGACAGTTTTAGAGTATAGAATACATGCAGGACAATTTCATATGTGAAACTTGGGGTTTTGAGAGATATAGTAGTGTCTCCACAATAATACTGAAAGAAATTCAGATGAGAAGGAGCAGCAGCCATAAACCCCACTGCCCTCCTCAGTGCAACACACACTCTGCAAAAGCACATAAACTCCTGTTGGAAACACCCTAGTTATAGCGGTTCTATGGTCTATACGGACAAGGTCCAACAGAAATAAAGTAAAAACTGCCCTGTTAAAATAACTTCTATAATAAGATTAATAGCATATTATTCCTTCTTCATGCTTTTAAAACATTTTAAATTAAAATATTATTCTTTTTACGCACTTGCCAGAGCTGGTTTCTTACCTGGATGTCCTTCTCCCACTGACTCCGATGTGAACATGAAAGTCCCTTCATCATCCAGTGTGTAATCACATAAACCATCCACTGGCCCATTCATGATTGTGATGCTTTTCCGGATGGATTTTTATAAACAAAGTTTGAAGAGTTCTACCTTTAGAGTCTTCTCTTAAAGGAGAAGGTTCTTTATCAGCAGGACTGTCGTAGTCTTCACTTAGTACCTCTTACACTAACTTGAATTTCAGTGTGTGAAAACAGCATGTGCTTGCATCTGTGTACACATGCAAGGAGTATGCATGTGCCTGAAGTCCGAATCCCTACCTAGCCTGATCTGTCAGTCCCTGAGCTGCTCCTATATATGGAAAAGTGAAAGTGCCTAGATAATCATGTGAGGCAAATGGAAGAGCCCATTTCTTGGCAGGGGAGTTAGTTAACTTTAGTATATTTCACTAATTAACTCAGTTCTCGGAAGCATTCTGGATTCAACCCGTGCACGATTGCTTATCTTAGCAACTCAACTTAGCACAAAGTAATGCAGACTACTGGTGACAGTTCAGGTCAGCTGCTGCTTCACTTTGAGTCTCCCCTAATTCTGGAATTTTTGCTGTGCTTCCAACTGTGTGTTGTGGTTTTACAGGGATAGATAAAAAAAATCTGTAAATGCATGTCTTTCCTAGCAAAAAACTGGAAGAAGTTTGCTCTGCATCATATAACTGTATTTTCCTTTTCCTTTTTCATATCTTGAAAAGTAGAATTCTCTCCTGAAATATTTTTTTCCATTTTCATTCATTCTTCATGCACATTTGAGAGATGAAACATCTGATAAGATCTAGCATGGTGAGTGCGTCTCATTTATGCAGACCTCTCCCTTCAGCCTTTGCTTTTCTTTTCCTGTCCTCTCTTCTGTTAATTCAGATCCATCTTAATTCTCTTTGTGTATCATATTCTTATATTTTATTCCATAACCCTTAGAAATACAGTAACTGCCACATATGAATACTAATTCTGCTACCAAAAATTTCTTCTACTTAGATGGCTCATGTCTGGAATATGCTGATGGTATGACAGGTATGAAGACAGATGGCATTTTGTGGATATATGTGTCCTGAAGTTAGGATACAAAAACGAAGTAAACATACTCACGCAGTAGATCTAGAAAAAGTCCCACACTACTGCACTATTATAAAAAAGTGTAATTATTAATCCCTTTACAGAAACCATTCTAGCCTCAATCTCAGACCAAATCTTTGGCATACCAAAATAAAAATTTCCCTTTACTTCAATGAATCATTCTCTCAATCATTCAAAGTGTACCTATACTTGGACTAGAATGAGTAACATACTGCTGATGCCACAGGCCTTGCAATTTTGACAGCAAGGAATTCCTTATCAGTCCAGTTTAAAAACTGACTTAGTTTACTTCAAAGCCTTGGTCAGTATTATTTTAAATAATAATAATATATACTATTACGTGGCCCCTTCAAATGAAATTTCTGCATTGGTACAAATTTATACAAGAATTCACTAGAATTTTCACTTTCTACCTACATTCCTGAAAACAATAACCAGTGCCTGTGAATATTCACCAGTAATCTGCTGTAGCATCGGCCCCTCTGTAACTATCATCAACATGAAATTATTCATTTCAAAGACAATTTCTTGGTTTTCCGTTGTACAGAATTCATTTAATTGAATGAAAAGCACTGGTTGCACTTAAAAATAAAGAATACACACATCAGATACACCTTATGAGGCACAGCTTTCTCTGTAGTAAACTGTCATCACCCCACTGACATGAAGATTCTATCCCAGCCTGAATAAATTACACATTAACACCACCTAGAAAAATAGAATTTGTAAAAAAAGACCGAAGAGTAACTAATTCTATTAACCCTAGCTAACGGGTAACATGCAAAAATTATATTAACTTTTAAAGAAAAATAACACCAGTTGTAAGCATTCATTCTTAAATGCATATGGTTTTTTTCTCTGTGGAAAGACAGAAAGACATGATGGGAATGGATAAAACATCTCTAAAAAAACCCTCTTTTTGCACATGTGAAAGTTTTCATTCTAATTCTACAGTCTTCAAGAAAAAGCAGTCAAGATTCAATATTGTCAGTCTGAGTGTTCCACTCCCTCTTGCTTCTGGTTTTGCTTTTTCTTGGTTTTCAATGCCACTTAAAAGTACAGAAATTATAGTTTGGGAATCAGCATTCTTGTTTCTAAGGTAGCACTTAAACAGAATGCAGAGACAGGCCTCACATAATCCTCTTACCCCATATAAAAATAAAAAAAACACAAGCTCTTAAATGCTGAAGAGTGCAAGCAGTTTGACATACATGAGTAATGAGTCTGCAGGCCCATTTTTATTTTGCTTTTACAGTTCCTCTTTTTGGACTCATTTCTGGCTAGTCAAATGCATTGGTTCTTGAGACCTTCGGAGGGTCACCCTTCATTAAAATTGCCTCTGGTAATAGTATTCTAGAAATGCTGCACAGCTGCATTTCACATAACTTGTGTAAAACCTCCAGTTTGAACTGCTTCCAGTTGTGGTTTTACTATCAAGAGCAACACATTTGCTTTACGGCCATGAAGCATCCCAGCATATTCTAGGACATCTGTGACCAACTCTAAACCCTTGTAGGGTTAGGTAATATTTAATTTAACTTCTCTTCCCAGCCAATTTGACTTGTTAAATATTTGTAAAAAGGTAAGATAGTGCTCTACCATCATGTCTTTTTGCACAGATGATCTGCCTACACAAAAATAAAAAAGGATTATAGTAAAATAATGATTAATATCGGTTTTTCCCTATTCCATTTTATTGATAATTACTCATCAGTCAATGTAATAGGCTTCCAAATTTTCTGTTAACTTTATTGCCATACTCAACACCTTTGTGGTACTGAGACTTTAGAAAGTCAGTTTATTTGCAAATCTATTTATAGTTTGTATATTGTCCATCATTGCATTAAGTACATTTTGACTATATTTCTTTAAGTTTACTATTATTTCTTTTACTTTTCTTTACTCAGAAGATACCTAAATGGCAAAATGCTCTCAATCAGTATAACCCTTGTGCTCTGAAATGAAGCTAAAGACAGGGAAATCACTATGTAAAAATAACATTGCCCTTCTGTATGGCTCTAAGTATTTATTCGTATTGACTATAATGTCAATCCCAACCACTGGAATAGCAACGTGAATCTTTCTATGTGAGAGTCTTCATATTTGGCACCATCCCATGGTTTTGCTACTTTCACTCATAGCTGTTATGCAGAACTACTAGTTCATACAATGCTTAACAGCTGTCAGAAGGCATGGTTTTACCACAGCCTTGAGAAAGCCCTGAAAATAATTCAATGAACAAGATTTAACTGAGAAAAGAAACTGATGAATGCTACTGATGCTGATGATTCTCCAGACAGATATGAATGATAAATTGTCTTGAGCCTAGACCTCTCATGACATATTATAGAATCATAGAATCATAGAATGGTTTGGGTTGGAAAGGACCTTAAGATCATCTAGTTCCAACTCCCCTGCCATGGGCAGGGACACCACACACTAAACTATGTTGCCCAAGACTGTCCAACCTGGCCTTAAACACCACCAGGGTGGGAGCATTCACAACTTCCTTGGGCAACCCATTCCAGTGCCTCACCACCCTCACTGTAAAGAACTTCTTCCTTAGATCTAACCTGAACTTCCCCTGTTTAAGTTTAAAGCCATTACCCCTTGTCCTATCGCTACAGTCCCTAATGAAGAGTCCCTCCCCAGCATCCTTACAGGCCCCCTTCAGATACTGGAAGGCGGCTCTGAGGTCTCCATGCAGCCTTCTCTTCTCCAGGCTGAACAGCCCCAACTTTCTCAGCCTGTCTTCATAAGGGAGGTGCTCCAGTCCTCTTACCATCCTCGTGGCCCTCCTCTGGACTTGCTCCAACAGCCTGGGTGGTGTGGTCTGAGCTAGTGAAGACTGAGACAAAGAAGTCATTAAGAACCTCAGCCTTCTCCAAATCCAGGGTAGCCAGTTTCTCCGATAGCTTCTGGAGAGGGCCCACGTTGTCCCTAATTTGTCTTTTATTTGCTACGTACCTATAGAAGCCTCTCATCAGATCATTCTACTCACCTTCTCCTTCCTTATCCTTATCTGTAGAAATAAGAAAACAAGTTTGAGCTAGCAGCCTACAGCAGAATGGGAAGGAAGTAGGTATACTTAGGGATGCATCCTCACCTCAGCTGCAGAAGAATCATGTTTTCACTGAAAGCAGTGTAAGTTTAGACGCGTTCATTCATACTGTTTCACCACCATGGTAATTTTAAGGTGAATTCTTTTGAGCGAGGAGGAAACTGTATTAAGAACTCTGAAGAACTTCTACACCACTAGAATCAGTCATGGGAAAACCATTGCTGAAGCTACATAATTTGTGTCTCTCACCACAACTTTCAAAGGCAGAGGACAATGACTTGATTTATAGAGAGCACACGCTTCACAGTAACTTAAAACTACAATTCCATTACCATTAAAGAACCCAAAACAGCTTAACTTTAACGATATACAGAAATACTTCATGCATACAAGTAACAGATAGGAAAGTGTTTTCCTAAACACTTCTGGTCTGTTCTCTCTATCATCAGATAAGACTTTATTCACTGAAGTTAACCATTTAACAGGCTAACAGTTTAAGTTTCTTATCTTGCTATTTTATTCTCACTTTGCAAAATCATGCAAGGAATTTACTCCTAATTTGTGCCTGTGAAAATAGAACAGTTCTCCAGGTGTTTACAAAAACTACTTCAATACTAGTTTTATTTGTGCTATGTACAAGCACTAGTTCATATAGAATACAAATAGTGTGTTTTCAAGAAGTTACTGCAGTTCATCTTTTTTACCTATGGAAAATAAGCCCATAAGGAAGATTTGTTTAGTTGGGTTTATTTTTTTTGCATGGAGAATGACAAGCCTGGTCAGAGTAACAGAGCTTGAACATCAGAAACTGAACACAGAACTCCCACCTGTTTCAGAACTCTCACCTCTGTTATTACCTGAAAATTAGAGTGGCTCAAGGCCTCGCAGATGTACAGGTGTAAAATTTCACTGGGCCATAAACATTCAGGGTAAAATACATATTGTGGGACAGAAAAACAGTTGTGATTGTAGAAGGAAATGAGATAGTATGTATTCTGTGTTTATCACCCAGCCTTTGTTCTTTCATATAACCTTTTCATACCTCCTGCAACCTCTGCACGCTACCATAAGGAAATCAGCTCTTTCATTCTTGAGTTTTCTTACAGCTTTTTGAGTGAATACCAGTTTTACTCA